ATGAGATACTTACGGAAAAAACTTATTGGAACTCAGAATAGAGAGAGAGAGAGTTAATTACCAAAACTACAGGCCGTGTCCGCAACCAAAATACATATGAGAACACACATGAAGAACACTTTGACATCACTGTTGAGGCCAACCATCCAATAGAATATACAGACATATAATACTGGATTCATAATAAATGATGGTAACTATTGATCATGAGTATTGGGTCATAATTAGTAAATAACACTTTAATTATCACTCAATTCATACCTCAGCCAAGATTTTGGACACGAAATAAGCGCTCACTCTATACATGCCATTATTGTGTTCGCGAAGAAATACTGGCATTTCTATGCAAAATGTCTGCAAAATTATGATCACATATTAATTAATAAATAAACTCTAGTTAAACGTTGTTTGATATTAATTACAGTAATGACACCAAAAATATTCTGGAAAGTGATGTTAGAGAGGAGGAGGAATAGGGCGCCATTGATGGACATAATGCCCGCCTGATTCACATCGATTTGCCAATAAATTAAACCGAAAACAATGGCCAAAATCTATTAACAAAAGGGTATATCTATTTTGAGACTATATCTCATAATGTAATTACATTGTAAATTGTATAAAATAGTGATAACTTTTAATAGAAAAAACACTTACGAGTGTTTGTATGAGACGGACAGTTGTTAACATGGGTTCCCTCATTGCCGATAGGGTTGCCCGCCATAGAAGTGCCCAAAACTGTATAAACCAACTCGTTTTATACACCAAGTGTTTTGTGGTGGTCTGAATGCGGTAATTATCAGCGCTTGTATTGTTATTATTGATGTAATCATTGGATGTGAGCGGAAGTGCTGTCTTCGCGTAAGCGCTTTCCAGATATCGATCGCATATTTCCTGCGTTAGATTAATAGAAAAATTAATATAATAATTAAAAAATTAATTAAAATTTTGTGTTTGTTAACAAACATTGAGCTTTTGTTTGGACTCGACTTCTTTGCCGGGAATTACAGACAATTGTTTGATATAAAAATCGGACGGATTGTAATTATTGGGACAGTTTAGGCCCAGACTTGAGAAATACTCGATTGCGTTCTCTGTAATGATTACAATTGGTGTTAATGTTTTTGTTTGTGATTATTAAATTATAAAATATTGAAAAATATTAACCAGATTTGCCTAAATAGGCAACCCTTCCGTCGGCCATAAGTAACAATTGATTAAACAGTGAAAACACTTCAGACGAGGGCTGATGAATGGTGCAGACAATTGTGCGCCCGGTTTGTGCCATATCTCGCAGCACTTCCACGATATTGTAGGCCATAAATGAGTCCAAACCAGAAGTCGGTTCGTCCAGGAATAGTATCGATGGATTTGTTAATAACTGATTAACAAAAACAAAATTTATTTAAAAAACACTTTAAAACAAAATTATTTAATAAAATTTACTTCTGAAGCGACGGCTAATCTCTTTTTCTCTCCGCCGGAAATGCCTTTCTCGCCGTCCGGAGCGCCGATCTTAGTGTCCGCGCACTTCACTAAACCTAACTGTTAATACATTAATAAATAATAATTAATTAGTTTTATTTAAAAAATTAGTTATCATTGATTTGATGTATTAATGACTAACTTCTTGTAGGACTTGATTGACACGACTATCGCGAGACTCTTTGGTCATCTCCTGATCCATACGAACCCGCGATTGAAAACTCATGTGTTCTCTAACCGTAAGGTTACCGATAAAGATGTCTTCCTGTTGTACGTAAGCCGACAACGATTTCATACTGTTTTGGTCCACAGTTTTACCGTTCAATTTCACCGACCCTTTGACAGTCACTTCCGATAGGTTTCGCTGCGTTAACACATTATTTAATGTTGTTTTTCCGGCGCCACTAAAATGGCATTGAAATTATTTAAATTTCTCACATTTATATTTATCTGAATCTAGATTTACAACTATTTTTTTAATTTAAACAAATATTTTTAATTTTAATAATATATTATCTACACGATTATAAAAATTATAAGTACCTAGAACCCATAATTGCCAACAACTCTCCACTCTTTGCCTGACCACTCACTATACAGATAATGTTTAAACATTTTAAAAATATTAATTATCTCATTATAATTGGAAAAAGTATTAATTACTTACCATTTTTGAGTATATGAACGGCCGGTTTGTCTTTGCTCTTTCTGAAGGGAAGTGGTATTCCTCCAGACTTTTTGCTGAAGACATTGATGTCGTGCCACGAAATGGTGACCGGATATGGGCTCTTGTCTTTGGTGCTCACATCCAATGGGATCTCTTTGATCTGATGCTCGTTTGTCATTATAAACTGATTATCAATCGGATGAACGCTTGCACTCAGAAATATGGGTTCACTTTTAGTATTATTATAATTATAAGTCGAGTCCACCACTCGTTGATCTAACTCTCGGCTCATTTTTATTAATTACAAAATAACTGTAAAAATATTTCAAATGCTTTTCAGCACCAAAAATCATATATCACTTTCAATCACAGAATATTCTTGTACCACAGAATATGCATTTCATTTGCTATAAAATTTCATTCACTTTTAATTAATCACAAAGCTTTACGAAAAACATTTATAGTTAAATAGTTTAAATAAATTGTGAACTTTTTGCACTCAATTATAACAACGAATTTGATTTAAAGAATGTTGATCATAAAATTTAGTACATTGATCAAATTGATTGCACTATTTACACCAAATTTCTTCATGATATTTCAATGCGTTACAGGTAATATCTTACATAACATAGAATAATTTTACAACTACATGTATTGTATTAATTATCTTACCATATTAATTTTTATTTATTGTTTAACAAAACTATGCGGTAGTATTCAAACTATACGGTCATATAGTTTGTTTTACACTAAATGGACTAAAATACATTTGTCCTTATAACTTATAGTAGAGTATCTACGGATTTATTGATATTATAACACAAGGTGTGATTTAAGCTTTTATATAAATACATTGTTTAATATTTACCCGATATTCATGTCATTATAAGTGGTTAATACATAAAGATTATAGATATTGTGCTATCAATTTTACACGTTAGACATTATGCACTATTTGTACGATACTTTATGCACAATAATATATTTTATTATAATAGCTTTACACCTATTTATTATAACTACATTTTATTGATTGATCATAAGGTATACACATGTATAGTATGAGACACAAAGGTGTGTTTCGCTGACATTTAGCTCCCTTTACACTAAAGTTGCACTAAAATATATTGATTAAACTAGATTAAATATATCCAACGGAATATTCTTGTAGGTATATAGAACTCTGACACAGTTTAATAAATTATATAATAGTATTTTTGTACTAAAAAATAAGTTTTTTATTATTATTATTAATATTTCACTTTTGCTTATTTGTTATTGCAATCACATTATTTGTTTACAAGAGTACATTAATACAATTTAAACTGTACGCTCTGTGACTAATAACCAGGTTGAATTTGTTATAAAATAGTTTAGCGATGTGTAAAAAATAGTGAGAAAGCCGGTGCTATACTCGGTTGAGGTGATAGATCTTGTTGTGGTTGAGACTTGTGGGTGAGTTGTGTAACTTCTTATTACACAACCAATTACTTAAATAATAGCAATTATTCTCACAAATGAGAAATAATTGACAAATATTTTGAAGAAATTAAACAGTGTTTTACACAAAGTGGAAATCATTTAATTCAAATTTATTAATTTATTATGGTGATTTACATATTACATTAAAGCTAACTGTTTTAGTAAAAATATTATAAACAATATAAATTACTAAAATATTAATATTGTAATATAATTGTAATATATTAAAATAAGTTAACAAGTTACTGTATATGAGTTGTTAATTGTAGGCATTTTCGTGTATTTAATAAACAATAATACAAATTACTCAAATATACTGTATGTGTACTTTTTATTTACTTTAAATATTGAACAAAAATTATAACAAATCAGTTTTGCATTTTAATGTTGATTGATTATAAAACAATGTTCATTTATAAGATCAACTTGTTATATAATGTAAAATCTCAATCATTTTTGTATTAACTTACTATAAACAGTAACAACTAATTATATGATAATTTATATACCGGATAACAATTTTAAAGCATAAAAACATTACGAAAAGTATTAAATAGGATATGAAAGTTGGTTATTAACAACAATTAACTAAAATTTGTCAACACCTCTACGTCAAGAAACAATAATTCTTAAAACATGATAATAATTGTCAATAATAATATATTTTAATCTTATTTTTTATTTATAACAATATATTTACCATATTATTAATATCAATTATATAACATATTATTTTTTTATTATGCTGTCAAATAATATAAATTATTTTTCAGACATTTATTACAAAAAGCTATTACATATAAATAGGTTACTAAAGAATTATTAATACAGTATATCGATTTTCTAAACTAACTAGATATAAGCATAAACTATACGTATTTCAATGTACTATATTTCAAATACAGCACACATTTTATTTGATTCATTAATTAATTTCTATTTATAGAAATTACAATCATTTTCTAATAAATGTACTTTTAATTAATATAAACAATATCATTAGTGCAACATTTAATATGCATAATAAAAAATAAGATCTATTAATAACAAAAAATATAATTTTAATTAAATCAAATTCAATACACAATTAAATCAGACATTATTATCAATCTTCAGGCAAATGGTCTTCTTTTCGGTATAAAACTCTCGGGAGTCGAGTGTACTCTCCCGACCGGTGCCCGAATGCTTTTGGCCGCCAAACGGCATATTAATGTTCCTAACCATCCAACAGTTGCACCAAACTGTGCCCACCCGCAGCTTATTGGCCACACTATGCACGCGATCCACGTTTGACGACCAGACAGTGGCCGACAGGCCGTACGGCGAGTCGTTGGCCCTATCGATCACCTCCTGTTGGGTATCAAACGGCACAATACACACAATGTTCACTTTTAGTATTATTATAATTATAAGTCGAGTCCACCACTCACTCACTCACTCATTAATATTAATGAAGTAATCATTTTATTTACACTTATCCAGGTTATTTAGTGTCATGCTTTAGCAATGGCATAACAATGGCACTAACAATTGCACCCACAATTTTAATGCCCATGATGATATTTGGCGGATTTTTTCTTAACAATGAGTACGTTTTTTAAAAAATACATAACTAATATCAATTAATCAATATATATTTAACCTTTATTGTCTACCATAATGGTTGTGTGCAGTCAAATCCCTGTTTGGTTTATTTGGTTTAAATACATTTCGTGGTTCTATTACGGCAACGAAGCGCTGACAGTAAACCAGTGGCGAGACATCAAACACATTGACTGCGAGTACGCTGTGGTGAACGGCACGGCTCTGAGTCCCTGCACTCCCAACGGACCCCTTGTTATCAAACTATTAAACTTCGATGAGAATAATCTCTACAGAAATATCTATCTATTGGTCATCATTTCATTTGTGGTCCGATTCCTGGCTTTTGTCGCACTTTGGGTCCGATCTATGAAGAAATAAAAGTGTTTCACTTCTTATTATTTAATAATTAAATATTATTATTAATTTATTTTATTATTTTTATAACAATATTTATTTCATTTTTTGTAATTTATTTATTATTTGTAAAGTATTCATTAAAAGTATCGTGTGTACATTAATGGACTATAACATTACAAAGTCGAATATCCCAAAATGTATTCGGTCTAGAAATTCAAATGATATATGAAAATAGTCAACAAGTTTTTAATTAGAGTAAATTTTCCCGATAAAAGTGGTCACTACTCCGGAACCCGATGTCCGTCGGGATATATAGACAACAGATATAAACACTTCTAATACTGGGCTATCATTTGAATGTTAAATGGAGATTAGGCCAGATACTTATGATTCATAAGTTATGAAAGTAGCAAAATTAAAAGCATTTTTACAAAACAAGTTTGTGAGTAAATCCATTGTTTAATAAGCAAAAGATATATTAAATGATAATTTTATAACAAATGCCTTGAATACAAGACTACAACTTAAACCATTGTGACTAACAGTAAGTGTGACTAATATATTAATAATTGTGTTATAACTTGTATACAAGAATACAAGAAACAAAACATAAGACACATTAAAATTCAATAAATTATGCTTATTGAAATGAGAGGCAATTAAAACTAAATAAATAAAATGCATGTCTAAATAAATAAAATGCATGTCTAAATAAATAAAATGCATGCTTACATTATAGACAATGCAAATAACTATATAAAAAATAAATAGCGAATGCCTAAAAAAATATATAAACTGATTGTAACATGGGTTTATATTGAGCATAATAATTTATGTGTTCTGTATTACATTGTCTGAAAAACGACTAAATAAACATTATTATTATACTCAAAATCAAAATTAAATATTACTTTTCTTATAGCGATACAGTGTAACTTCTCCATAAGGAACGTCCAATTGCACGGCAAAAGTGTTCCCTGTAGAGAGAGTTCCTTCAAGGGAGGTTCTCTTATAGGTATAGAAAATCCAAAATATATTTCAAATCCGTTCCTTTAAAGAAGGTGTTCCCGCAAGAGAAGTTGCCCCAAGAGAGGTTGTACTGTATTTGTAAAAATAAAATATATAGATATAGTGCAACTTCTCTTGGGTAAACTTCTCTTGGATGAACACCTCTTCATAATAAACGGATTTGAAATATATTTTGGATTTTCTATACCTATAACAGAACCTCCCGGTGAATGAACCCTTCCTATAATGAACACTTTTGTCGTGCAACTGGCCGTTCATTATGGAGAGGTTGCACTGTATTATGTATTGTTTGCCGTTTGCGTTGCAAAACCATTGAACAACAATTCCAAGAGAAGCAAACCATTTATTTAATTCCATTACATTTACTCATATTTAGTGTTGTGTTTTAATAATCATATTTAGGTATAATATTAACATAAACTAAACATCCAACAATAAATGACATCTAAACAAACTTTACATTAGATAACAATTACTATAAATGCAAGTTGTTTTAGACATCCCGGCAATTTTCTAACTCTTTGCCATTACTTATGCCCTTTATGTTCGTCATTCATAACGTATCTGTACTTTAATATAAATACTTTAAGTCTAAATAATATTATCCAGTCGGCCAATAAAATCTGTCCCCCCGGAAACGGCTATATCTCTTAAACAAAATGAGCTAGATCAAATCTGTAGAGTGCATAATGATGTTCCATATATTTATTATTTTTATATAAAAAATTGTTCAAACCACATGTCTAGAACATAGAAAATTTGGGCCATTTTGAAATGTCATGGTTTTATTCAGTTGATAGGGGTGTCGGAAAATGGCAAATATGCTATTCAAAAGAGGGGGTGTCAACGTGTTATAATAATTTAGAACCCCCATCATCGG